CAGAAAATTCTACAGACATGGTAAATGCGTCCTTTAAATTTGATCTAACCTCAAATAAGTGATGAATTTGGTTGGTGAATGTTGATCATCAACAACCTGATAGAATATCTGACGCAGTGTTGGCTTTTCACGGGCAATAAAACAGTATTCACAGAGGGAAAAAATGATAAGCGAAATTAATGCAACTGATTGGAGGAGAAGTATCACAGCGATATGATCGGAGAATAATGTCAGTGACAAAATGATTGGTAGTACAATGAACATGAAATCGAGTGAAAATTTGAGCCTGAAATATATCAGCCAAAACTCAGAAGTTCTAGCTAAAAATTATTTTTAAAAAAAAAAGTACTTAAAAATATGCCTCTTAATCGAGGAAATAATTCATCAGAGTACAAGAGTAGCAGCGCTTTAGATAATGCTCAGCATATACCAAGGGCATTTCGAAGTGGCCAAAGCACTTGTGAAGTGTTTCATGAGACGAAATAAACCAGAACTGTCAAGTAGGCTGACCATCAGAAAATGAGGTTCAGTTGTGGTGCTGAATAGGAATGTATATGACTTAATGGACCGAAGCAATTCTGTTCATTTAATTTTTCTCGTTTATATATATACATATATGTATATATATATGTGTGTAAATATTGACATATATATAAATTATAAATAATAACTTCATCTTTCTCCTAAACGGATTACGAGCTCAACAGTTATATATACACAACAGTTATACACACACAGTTTTTCCTAGTTATATATACACATATATATATATATAGAGCTAAGCAGAAAAAAATAGATGAGTAGAATGTTTCGGTCCACTAAGTCACAAGCACCTGACAAGACTTTAGCCGTTTCGAGATGTCTTTCTTGTGTGTTTTAAGCATCACCTTTTCTCTCGAATGCTGTCACTTCCATATAACGATTAAGTGCCTTACCGAATACAAGCAAGGGTACTTGCATATCAATTTTCAAATTTCAAAATCTTTCCTCTGACAGCAGCAATTTTTGCCGTTAGTATTTTCTCAACAACTGCTCACATTTATCAGTATTTTTCTAACTTTGCGATGCTGTCATTTACAAAAAGATATTCAAAGAGATGCGGCAAAGTTATTTCACACAATATGAAACATTTTTTCCGATCCTCTTTTACGTAATTACTGTCTTTTTTTTTGGTTTTTCTGAGCTAATTAGCTGCATCCTTCTCAAGCGATGTACTTAACAGATGTTTGGGCGGCATTTTCTTGACGATAATGCCCTTTAGCCAATTCTTTTCAACATGGATAAAGCTTAACTATCAAAAAAACAAAGCTAAACATAGAACCATTTCTTTCCTGAAAATGAATTACAGCTGCCGCTCGAAGTATCCAAGTGCTTATCGCAGACTTCAGGAGCAATAATATGTTATCAAAAAAAAAAAAAAAGAATTAACCAGAATCCATTGGTAACAGCAAATCGAAAGCCCACAAAAATCCATGGTACAGCGATATTCCGTAGCAATATTGATACGGGGCCGATCAGCTGAAAAAGCAATACCTCCGACTGGCTGGTACCATTGTACTGCAAATTCGTAGGTAACAAATGCTGCGCATTCTGCGCTTGATGCATTTATACCTCGAAACTGCGATCACCAGCCCTGTAAAATGAAAGTATATTACGGCAGGAAAATGTGGTAATGACGTAGTAAGCGACGCTATACTTTATGTAAACCAAGCGGCCATTATTCAAATCTCAGCCAACTCTCCTTTCTAAAGCGGGGAACCAAAAATCAGGGAGGAGAAGACGAGTGCGAGGGGGGAAAATAGAAGGGAAAACGAAGGGTTGGAGGAGTGAAGGGGATATAGTCATTATTTCCTAGATAGGCACAATACCTACTGCTTTTTCACACAGCTTACCGTTTCTCCCTTTAATTTAGCACCCGCGAATCGAATATGATAGAAGCTGAGCACGTGAAAACATATATACATAACATATATACATTCATCCAGACATACATACATATCTACGTCTTCAGGGTTAGAGAGAAAATATGAGCAAAAAACGATGAAAGGGTTGTGAAAAATTATTAAAGTAGGTAAGAAATGTTTCGGTCCATTAAGTCGTATACATTTCTTACCGTTACCACAATTGGACCTCGTCGTCAGTACGACGATTCTGGTAGAAGAATTCTGAAAGGTAATTTAGTAAGATAGGAAACTGAATAAGCTAGTTGATGTGTGCCTGCAAAAGTAAAAAGAAAAGTAGAAAGTAGAAGATGAAGTTGAAGAAAAAGTAAGAGACAAATGAAAAAAAAAAGTGGAAGGCAAATGAAAGTTGAAGAGAGGGTAAATACATATAATATGTTATACATCTACTTATGCATATGTTGCACATTATATATAATATTACATATTATATGAATTATATTTTATGCATATTGTATTATATATATTATATGTGTTATATATCACACATATTGTATAATACATATATATTATAACATATACTTTTTCTGTGTTTTGTTAAAAAGTGAGAGAAAATATGAGGGATAATGATGAGCATATGTGAGACAAGAGTTTAAAAGTAATAGTCCGGCTTAGTGAAATGCTTCAGATGAAGAATGCCAGAACGAACAGCTGCTCAGACTACATATTCAAAGCAGATACCACCCCAATTCCTCCGCAACACCAGTCTTAGCCTCTTCTTGGCCCTCCTCTTTTCCCCTTCATTCCTCGCTCCCTCCCTAACATCTGCTCCAAATCACGTCCTGGAATTTCAAATTTCTTAGTGTTGTAGTCGAGCAACTGGGTTTTTTTTTTGGAGGGGGAGCGAGGGAAGGGGGGAGAGAAATGACCAAGAACAAGTTTCTATGAAAGAGAATTTGACTAGGCAAAAAACACTAGTGTAAGTTTTAGTTGAAATGTAACAGTATATTCCTGTTTCATTCTTTATGAAGAACAGCTGGGGAAGGGGTAGCCGTGGGACAACCAATTCCTCTAAAATTCGCTCATTCGTTTTGAATGAGATAAGCTGGTACAGGCATATACCGGACAGTCAAATCCGCCACTGGCTTGCTTGTAAGCAATCCTCCAATGAGGTATCCGTACACAGTTTTGCCAGCTGATGGTTACTGTTGGCATTTGCTCCAATTCGCGTTATTTCCCGAACACCACTCCCTCCTCATCGAGGGAGAATGTGGATTTCTCCGGTGAGAAAAAATGGTATTCGGATCTACGCAGATCATCTACTGTCAATAACTGTCTCTTCCACGGATAAGCTTAAGCAAACTGACGAAGATTTGGAATCGCTGGCATAAGTGAGCGCATTAAATTAGTTTCGGAAGATTTGTCACGGGATTGGCCCTTCACTGAGCGAAAATCGGAACTTTCAATCCCCAGCATGAGTGCTTAAGCCTGTTATTGTCCGCTGTACCAAGTCTGCTGTACTTGGGCACCTGGATCAGTTACAATTTATAGTGTGGTACTGCAATTGTACAGCTTTTCCATTGCTTTGACCAGTGTTGCATTGCCTAATGGTCAATAAGTTGACGATCTTGACACTCGTTTTAGCTCTTGAAGGGATTGCTGGTTAAAAATAAATAAATCAGAAAAAAGACAAAGTAGTTGGTATGAAAAGTTAGCGACAACAAAAACTTCGAAAAACTAGTAAACTGGATATTCCAGTTCATAAAGCCATAAAGATTTCTTGCCAGCGCCAAACATCTGGAACTCGTCAGTACAACAGTTGTGGCAAAAATGCAGTTTCACTTTAGAGAAATGGTAAGAATTTTAAAAATAGTAAAATTTTAAGA